CATTGAGAATTTTACTTGGAGCTTTGGGGAAGCTAACCTCAAGGCAGAAGATACCTCCTCTTTCTTCTCATCTCCCAAGAACAACCAACACCATCCAAAAGCGTCAAGATGGGCCCATAATTAAGTAACTACATCTTCCTCTCACAATCAAGGGAAAGTAAGTTCCCACAAAGCTCATCTGGAGGAAGAGGCCTCACAGCTAGGAAATGGCTGCCACCTGACTGAGGGGACACGGGGTCAAGGAGAGCTGATCCCAAACTGGCAGCACCTTCAGCTAAACAGAGATCTGCTCCCCAAAAGGCAGTGCCGGCCTGTCCTAGGTGAACAGGCAGGGGACCAACACATTCCTGCATGTTGTGCCCACGCATCGGGCTGGAATCTTCGGGTGGCACTGCTATTTGGTGGTGGGGAAGGCAATGGTGTCCAAAAAAAAAAATCCCTTCTAAGAATAACGAGTCACTTGTGGGCACCCTGGCAGCTACTCGAACACTGAGACTTGACCTCTCCCTCCACTTTTCCAGGGCTGAAGGTCAAGCTATTTATAGTACGAGTCCTTGTGCCCAAGAGATATCATTTTCCTTAAAGCATATGATGATTGGTAAGATAAAATATCAAAAGATGAGGCTGTATCAAAATGCCTTTTGTAAAACTCTGCAAATTTGACTTTTCCATAACGTGACCAGCCACATAAACAGTGGCAAGTTTTCAGCTGCCTGGGAGGTCCAGGAAATGAGGGCATAGGAGAGGAGGGCAGAGGCTGCCCAGGGAGCTCTCCTTGACCTTGGCTGCAGGGCCAGAGGCCCCGGGGACCTCTTGTGGAAGGGGACACCACACATGGCTCATGGAGAAGACACATCCGAGGCCTGAGGTTGGGTGAACATTATATGAGAGCTTTCGAAAATTCCCCAGGAATGCTTTCCCCATGTCAAGCACCAAGCCAGGTAGCTTCAGAGCATGCTCTGACCCTCCCAACAGCGTGAGACAGAGAAGATATTTGCTGTTTTATAGATGAGGAAGCTGAGATTCACAGGGACTGTGGACTATCTTGCCGGTCAAGGTCATGCAGCTAAATAAGTAGCAGATCCTGTCCGAGAAACCTCAGCCGTCTGACTGAAGTCTGTAGTCTTCCCTCTGCCATCTGCTGCCCATCTCCCAGGCGGGCACGCTAGAAATGCTGGGGGATTCCCAGGATATTGTGAGTGAGAAGTTTCTGTTCTGAGCAGGTAGAAGACGTCATAGCACATTAGAGACGTTCGATTACACACACTGACAAATGAGGGAGGTGTCAGAATGACTGTCCCTGCTAGTGGGGACAGAAAGCAGAGCCAAGAAATGAAGTAACTTGTCTGCAGAACCACGAAGGATCAGGGCCTGAGAGGATCAGCTCTGCCCCCTTTCCTGGAGCTCACTCAAGCTAACGGTAGAAAAAGACACTGTTGGCCCAACCTGGAGGAAAGGAGCCCTTGATGCTCTTCACAGTCATCACTTCTCCACAGCTCCAACTCACACGGTTAACAAGCTATAAAAAATGTGTTGTCAGATAAGTCTCAAATGAAGGCCATTGGCCTCGTGATTGAACCCAGGCCCCAACAGGTCCATGGCTTCTGGCAGATCTGCAGCAACAACAGCCCAGAACGCACTGGCCCCCAGTGACCCTCAGCCTGTCCAACCATCAAAAGGCCATGCTGCCCCAGGCAGTCAGGGTGGACTTACCCTCAACATCTCCCCCTTCCCCAATGACTACAACAGCCCCGTGGTTGCTAGCCATATTGCTGCTGGCCCCATCTGTGGCAAGAAGCTTTTTAAAATCATAGTATTGCCCTGCCTTAAAAGCCTCCCAGTTCCCTATAACGTGTTTCTTGATTCAGCCCACACCTTCCTAGGCCAAAAGCCACTGGGACAGAGGTCTCCCAATATCCAATTTCTGCTTCTTCTTGTTGGTAATGTAACCTCCAAGGTATGGCTAGGAACATGGTCACCCAGCTGAAAACTACTTTTCCCAGCTTTCCTTGCAGTAAGGTATATCCATATGCCTGGTTAACAGGGTGTAAGCAGAACCTCCAAGTCATGCCACTTCCAACTGAGGAATTGTGAAGATGGGGCAGGTGTTGGAGCCATCTTCAACCATACCCAGGGGATGACCACAGTGACCCTGGGTGCCTGAGACAACCTGGTGGGGCATAGTACTCCTGGGCCACCTTCCACTTGGCCTATTAAGAGAGAGATAAATACATGTCGACCATATGAAATCCACTATATTTTGGTCTCTGTTAAAGCAGCCAAGTCAATGACCAAATAGCCTCTCTTATCAAGCCCAAACTCCACTATTTTCTCCCAATACATCTTCTGTTAGGCCACCCCAACTTCTCACCATTCTCCAAACACATTCTGGCAGAAATCTTGGTTTTCACACCAGCTGGTCTCGCTGCCTAGAATGCCCTTCA